AGTAAGATGCCCACATAACGTATGTACTAACATTTCAAAGTACATTTAGATGTTCCTGGGAAACACATGTTTACCCAACCACATTAAAGCATAAGAAAGCAGAGCCTGGGGAAAGGCTCCATTCCAAAGGCAGAGATGGATATTTTTCTCAGTGACCTGGGAAATGATCCTGTTCTCTGCCCTCAAATAAGGATGCGGGATGCTGGTCCTGACTCTGATTTAAGAGCTGACAATTTGTAAAACTTTCCTTAAATAAAAAGGCCTAGATTGTTAAGAATAAATTCTCTCAGAATAGAGATATAAACTCTACATAGAGAATAACTGTAGGAGCGAGAATATAGCTTAGTGGTACAGCATTTGCCAGGCATGCATAAGAGATTCAATATTTGGTGCTACAAAATAAGAAAAGAAAAATGTAGACAGTAGCAAGATAAGGCTTTCACTTGGCTCCAGCACCAGCCAAACCAGTGCAGACCATGCTCTAACTGGATAGCTCTGCAAAGGAATGGTGGATGGGAGAAATGACACACCAAACACGTTTTCATACTGTTTCGTCCTCGTAGCCTCTCTATTCTGGTGATATTTTGCATTCTTGGGGGAATAAAATTGAGGCCTGCAAGCAAAGCACCTGCTATCTCTGCCACTAATTCAAAAATCTTTTGAATTAGCGGCAAAAGTGGGACTGGAATCAGTGTGGCTGATGGCAGAATTGGGACTGGAATAAAGACCCTCAATAAGTGACCAGATTTTGGAAGAGAGCTGGAAAAGGCAGGCGGACAGAAAGGATAAGCTGAGGAGACATTGCAAAGGCAGGAGAGCCTCCAACTTGGGGCTGTGTGGGTCGCTGTGGAAAGTGGGTTGACATCAGTGGGAGTTTTTCTTGCATGCCACAGCCAAGGCTCTGGACTCCTTAGCAGGCTCAGCAGAAAGCAGGCAGCCTGAGGCTCTTCCTAAATGCATGAGCTTCAGATCTCTGAGAGCCCTGTTCCACTCACAGAAAGCATGGAGAGAGGCTTTATGCCCACTGACCTAGTCCTTTCCAAGGAAACTGCTAAAGAAAAGTAGTAGAAAAACAAACTAGGGGTATTGAAAAGGGTTTAAAAATTTGAAATGGGATCTACTTAATTTTTCAACAATATTAAGAGAAGCTCAAATGGCTTTACTTGATGAAGTACACAAGGGAAGGATCACTTCTAAATGTAAATATTCTAAAATGTTTGTGCAAAATATTGCTCCTCTCATACAAATCTGACTTCAATCTGGGATAAATGGACTAAGATCTCAACAAAACACTACTATTGAGAGAAGAGTGAGAAGTTTCTTTTTTTTATATATGTACACTAGATTTGGGAAGGTTGATCAATTCAGGTCTGTGTCACTGTTTCTTTCCTTTTCCTTTCATCCTTGGCACAAACTCTTTACTTTGTATGTCTGTTTTAGTCAAAATTCTCTATTTTTCAAAAATATCAGGGCAATTTTAGCAGCCCATCTGGAAATGAGCGTAAGACACAAGACATACTCAAATACCAGAGAATTACGTGCAAGGATGAGAAGAACGAGTATAGCTGGTCATAACAAACTTTACTGATGGACAATATTAGTGAGAATATCGAAACTGTCAAAAGAAAAACAACAACAAAAGAGTTCTGTCACCAGCAAAACAAAAAAACCCAGGACCTGCAGGCACAGATAAGAGTTTGCGGAAACTGATAACATTTACATCAGTTAAGTGAGCACCGGTGGAATCTGGTTCCCTTTATGAAGAGGATGAAACAAAGAGCACAGAACTCACCGGTGGAATTACGTTGTGGACTAATTAAGGGAAACTAAAAGGGAAAAAGAAAGGTTTTACCCTAGTGCTGTGTCTTATGTATCAACACGGTCAGAGCAAAGCTTACTGGCATTAGAATTAGCTATAAACAAAACTTCAACTTGTAACTAGTCAGGTTGAAGTCGCCTCTCTCTCACTTCCCTGGTATATCTGATTTATAAGGCGTATTAAGTCTATAAAATGCCTCCAAAAATCAGGGCATTTCTCCTATCCCGAGGACGTTGCTACTGTGGAAGTCCAGGTCCGCATCTCATAGCTTCCAGTGTCTACCAGGCCCCACAAGAGGGCTGACATTGGAAAGACAGCAGATCCCATTAAAATATATGTTTAGAAAAAAAACACAGACAAATGCATGCTAAAATTTAGTTAAGATAACAGAGATAAGCTGTGTTCTTTCTGTTATGTACTTCTTTCCATCTTTATGAAATTTTAAAGCTACCAAGTTTTTTCAGTCACTTACTTCTCTAATTACAAAGTATACTGCTGCCTGATGAAATAGTGCATTGTAATACTCTGATAGATTTTTGTGTCATTTTCCAGGATAGTTTTTACCCTAAACTCAGTATCATCAAATAAGCTGGTATACTTTTAAGTAATTTCTGACAACAAAGAGATAGTAGAATTTGAGTTAAGCTGATTCTTAATAAATATTGGAGAAACAGAAGAAGAATCAGAACCCTTACGTGAGAAAAAGTGGATACTAGATAGAAGCACTACTAGGTTTATATTTCACTGATCCTAAATGGGACAGACAGATAGATCTTCCTCTGTCCTATAAAACAACTGGGTCACAGTGCCAAGTTACACTCAATTTTATTTCATATTTTTCACTACTCTGATTCAGCAATTTCCCAGTACTCTCAAATAACCAAGGCTTAGTTAAGAACACAAACTATGGTTCTCAATTTAAAGTGCATAGCCCCTCACATTCATCATTTACAAAAAAAAAATAAATAAATAATTGGATGAACAGAAACTTGTTTATGTTTGAAAAAAAAGAATATTTAATGCAATGGGGGTAATCACAATGCTCTTGGACTTTATAAATCCTCTTCTTAGTTCTCAACTATTTTGGTGGAAGAATCCTGCATGGAGTCTAACTGAAGATGAGTGGATAAGCAATAGCTATCAAAAATACATTTCAGAAATCCAATATTCATAGTACTTCCCCTTAGAGAACTCAAAAACAATTTACAAAAACTAAATTTTTCTCTTCAAAAAGAAAAGCTATCACATGTAATGCTGTAATTTTTTCCCGCACTGTTTACAAAATGTACCAAGAATTTAGAAAAACTAGTCCTGATGAAACACTGGATCTCTTTCACAGCAACTTAAATATAATCAACAGTAACCACAGAGCTTTAGAATTTTATAGTGGAAGTGTAAGGGTCCAAGAAAAGTTGCAGATAGACACCTCTAGCACCATTCAAGTCTGAAGTGAGAAATCCAACAATATTACAGTATGGGCTGCAAGGGATTTACACTCCAGCACCTGGTGCTCATGACCTGCACCTTTGTGGGCATGGACTTGAACCTCTCTGGACCTGTGTTCTTATTCTCAAAACAGGAAAGATACGATTGTGTGGCCTCACTCACATGAGAATGTAGCACCAGAGCGGCAGAAGTAAAAGAAATAGAGGTAGTATAACTTCATTTTTTAGTGTTGTGAACTAAAAACAACACAGTAAAATGTAGCCACATTTTTTATAGAGGCTAAAGCTGAGAGGTAAAAACTTGTGCAAGCCTTATCAGCTTTTACGGGTACAATCTGAGTGTGAACACCAGCCACCCTGGCTCTAGAAGTCATGATCTTGTCCACATCCCAAAATGTATTCACATGGATCACCTAACAAGGTAACACTTTGGCCTGTACTGCTGCCCAAAGGATGTCAAAGCACCACAGTAATGTCTTATGTTACTGCTGTAATTTTGAAAAAATCGTTAAAATATATTTTCTGCTGAACACATAATACTATTCTTAGTAAAAACACATCAACTCAAGACCTTAGGGAAAAGACACAAATGAACATTATGACCTGAAACAGTTAGAAAATAACTTAGTAGATACAACAGTTGGTGATACCATTTTGTACAACTGGACATTCATAGTCAGAGAACAACAACTCACAAATGTCAAAAAACTTTTGAGACACCAGAGAAAATTGTTGTAATCATTACAAAGAGCTGGAAGATTTGTTGTGTATGGGTCTGGGGTCCAAAAGCCGATACTGATGACTCGGCAGGCTGCTCACAGGAGGGTATTAGAGACAAGAGAAGCATGTAGGGCCATAAACAGCCGGTGGCCAAGTCTCCCAGGCATAATGAACAGCAAGTTAGCAAAGCTGAGCATTTACACAATGCTTCAGCTTCCTCTGTGGTAGACAAAAACAATTACAGTGACTTGGAAGGCTAACAAAGGCGTATCAACTCTCTCTACACTGTCAAAATTTTTCTAAGCTTTTAAGACAGTAGCAATATTTCATTCACCAAGGACGGGTAAATTGAGTCACAGTTAAATTCACACGTATTTAGTTGAAAATACTATTTTCTCAGAGATATATTCAGTTCTGAGAGAAATGGAAAAGGAAAAAATAAAGAATTCTCTCTCCACTTCTCTTCTACTTTTATATTTTCCCTGACTTACTGTTGTCGGGGACTTTGTGCGGCCCTCACTTATTGCATTTCAGGTGGCAGAAAGAGAGAGACTGCCAAAAGCTCTGAGACACCCTCCCTCTCCCTTTACAATGTTGCTGCACTTTGTCTTTTCCAGGAGAGATCAAATAAGACCCCATGGCCACACTGTGCAGCTGCTATTCACTGTATGATCTCAGTGATCTCAGGTGTTACTTTTTACATCACCTTCCTCCAAGAAATGATCTCCCCGTGCCCTGGGTAGGTGCAATGCACAATCTATGCAACCACAGTTATCATCCCTGTATGAAACTCCAAAACCAGAATGGACATAAAAGCATTCTGTTCATTCATCTCTTCGTTCTCTCATTCAACTCAGTAAATACATACTGTTTAGTGTTCAATGGACACTGAGTAAACACCTAGGTAAACACCTGTGAGTAATACTGTGCAAGAGTGAACTTGCGTGCAAACAGCAAAGTAAAGCACAATAGGCCTGGGAGTGTACGGAGGGAGTCAAAGTGCAAGTAGGCCTTACCACATGTGGGTTGACCTTGTGTCGGAAGCACGTGATGTTCACCACGTAAGGCCAGTCGTCAGGTTCCATCAGTACTCCCGCAGCATGGGCACACGTGACGTGGAAGGAAGCTGGGCATCGGCCATAGGAGCATTGGATGCAGGCTCCGGAGACCTTCTTAACACGGTGTCTGCAGAATATGCACTTCTGGAGGGTTAAAACAGGGAACAACAATTCACACTCCATAACTCAGCCAATTTCCACACTTCAGAGAATAATAGCTGTTAGAGGAAGAAAATACTGATTACATCAACAAGTCCTGACCCTCCAGGGGCCCGAGCAGCATGAGCACATGTGGCAATATAGTCTGCTCACTTTAAAGGAAACACACTTCTACAGTCACACACCACCAGACATGTGCTTAAATACTTCTTGTGCTGAGGAAAGCCACATTCTTTTGCATGCAGTCCTCCCAGGACAGAGTTCAGGAAAAGGCCCCAGGGTGCTCTTCTGAATCACCCATGAATGCTGAAGCTACTTCTCGCTCCCCTCTGCATGGCAGGCTTTTCTATATACATCAACAGACGGAAGACAGGTCTGGAAGACAGACACAGACAACTCCTGAATTGGATGAGAATAGGCAAACGGCACACCGACGGGAAGTTTTCCATTTACAAAGAAATGGAAAGTGTTAAATGATCCAATATGGAAACCAAGGGCTCAAGTGTTTAATAACCCAAATCTGAACACTTTCTGACTGACAGGAAAATATGCCTCCCAAAGAGACAAAATGGAAAATCACCCCAAAAGGCATAATTTTCTTCAACTTTTATAGCTGACAATGCCTGGGGAAGAGAAAATAAAAACAGCAATAATGATTACCATAATCAGAAAATTAAATTGCACACAATTAGTCCTAAACATGATCAGTACATTTGTTATAACAGGAAAAAACAAACAATTTCACTAAACATAAAATGTGTGTACTAATACTTGAGAGGCAGGGGAAAATGGTTGTGGAACAGCATAGTGGTCAGGCTTGGAGAGCAAACAGAATGATAAAAAAAGATCAACTTTTCATTCCTACTGGTAAAAAAGGTCTAGGACCTGATTGGATGTTGGTGCTACCGCTCGTCTTTTACAGGCATATTTCTTCCTGAAGTTAAAAAAAAAAGTACTTCAAGTCAATGCCTATTGGGGACTGTAATATTTTATTACAGATCTACAGAAAGCAGTGTGCACTTAACTTCTAACTCCTCTTTGCCCTCACATCTGATCAGCAGCTCAGTCTTCTTGATTCTGTGCCCTGATCTTGCTCTCATCTCTTCCTGCTCATCTGCAGCAACTGTACTGCCTCCATCCAGAGTGTCTTGCCTGGCATGGAAACCACTGATAACTGGTCTCACAACCTTTTCTTTCCTTCCGCTTCAATTCATCTTCGCCAGGGCTTCCAGAGTGATCTCTTTATTATAACATAAATCCCATGTCACCCCCTGCTTAATACCCTTCAATGGCTTCTATTTATTGCTAAGTAATTCCAGGAAGGAAAAAAAGCAAAGCAAAGCAAAGAAAAAAGGAACAGTGTGAGATGAAAGAGCAAATCAAATAAAAAGCCCTTCATGGGTGCAATAGAGCAACCTTATTTCTCACTAGTTCCTGCAAGAGCCTTACCTTCCACGCACTTACCTCATTCCCCACACATTCAGTCAATTAAACATTTTTAAGTGGGGGTTGAACATGTCATTACTGATTTTAAAATTACATATGCATGCACACACATGCAGAGAGAGAAAACCAGAGAACTAAAACAGGACAGATATAATTTCCATAACAATGTTACTTAATATCTCCTCTTGACATTTCTAGAAATCCTTGCTGTTTCAATCCATCCATGATGCTTTTTTTTTTTTTTTTTTTTTGTTTTTTTTTTAGTCAATTCCAATCATTTGAATTGTGATGGCAGATATAATAGAAAAACTCCAATCAGGAGCACCAGGCATAAATGGACAACATTTTTAATGGCATAATTATACAACAAAGGAGTCCACTGCATAAGTTCAGGTATTGAGAGATGTATTTTCCTAATTAAATAGGGTTTTTTAAGAGTAGGAGAGAGTACAGTGACTTAGCTAAGTAAAGAAGTGGAATCTCCTGGCCTGGGCGACCAAGAACCTCCAATAAGGGCGCTTTATTTAAGAGACCGAGACAGAGAGAGATAGAGGCAGAGAGACAAATAAAGACATGTAAAGCTAGGGAGGATCCTGGAGTCAAAGAATAAACATGCCTTTTCCCAGGACAACCAAAGTATCAATCTCTAAGAACAGGATTTTAAGAAAGCCAATCTAACTACAGACTATTACAATTCAACATATTGGAAGATGTTTATTCACAGGGTAGAAAATTTTTGTTTTAAACATCACATGGCTTTGTGCAAAGATGGGAAATCCTTTACCTATGAAGGAAGCCATGAGGAAGGTAGCCTGTCATACACTCCATTTTCATTTGCTTAAATCATTCTCTCTCCACACTGGCTAAAACATCTGTGGAAATCTGACAACCCATGAGCAGAGAACTGTACCTAATTCCGTGGATTAAAGACATGTAAACTAAATGAGACGCTCTTAAGAACATTATGATGGAGCAGGTGCTACGAAGGAAGCAGAGCAGAAGTGCTACGTGGAACCAGAATGACTGTTGCCGTGATACATTCTCAGGGCAACAGATGGAGGAGGGCTTGGAAGAAAGGCAAAGGCTAGAAGGGTCAAGATGCTATACTCGGCCTCTGCTACCACTCACCCAGCCCAAACCCTGAAAAATGGATAGGGGAAGAATACAAACCATTAGCAGTATTGACAAAGAAGAAAGAAAGTCATCAGGTGGTTAATGGGTGTAAAGGCGCAGTTGGACAAGAGGAATAATTTTTAATGTTCTATAGCACAGTAAGATAACTAGGACAATAAACTATCTTAAAATAGTTAGTAGAAAGAGTGTCAACGTTCCTAACACAAAGAAATATGTCTGAGGTAATAGATAACCCAGTTACTTGATCTGACAATTATACACTGTATACATGTATTAAAATGTCGAAGTGTACCTAATACATATCTACAATTACTAGTTATCAATTTAAAATAAAAATCTATTTAAAAATACAAGAGAGCCATCAAAAGACCAGAAAAAAGTGTGTAATTCCCAGACCATGGAAAACATAACTAGATTAACGAAAGTAGACCAACACTAATCCCAAGTAAGAAGAGACAAAAGCTACCAAAGAAGAATAGTTCGTACCCTAAAAGTCTCAAGCCTACTCCAAAGCACAAATCTACAATTAAAAGAAGAGGAAACCCTGGTTCCTCCATGGTAAAATAGGGTCACTTAGAACACTTTGCACACGGTGTTTCTAAAGATTCTTACACATTCTAAGAGTGTAAGTTTTCTCTATCCCTGAGAGAGCAGTAGAAAAACTCTGAATTAACCCTCAATCTTAAGGTAGGAGTAGTTTTAAAAAACATATATAACAAATAAAAGATAAAATTAAAAATGAATGTTCGGTTGGGGAGGTGAATGACAGAGGACGTAAGAAAGCACTAGACCCCCGAGAAGCTGATAACTCAGCAAAAAAAAAAAAAAAGTTTTTTCTTTTTATTGAGTTTATTGGTACATTCTAGGTATACAGTACAGTTACATTCATTAATGGGATCTTGCACCTTTACATGACAGGTCTTGGTTCTCATTTTTTCCCCTTGTCCCTGCCCTCCCTTCACCCTCTTTATTTCCACACTTCATTTCCATTTTTTCATTTTCTCATATTTTTTCTTTTCCCTTATTCCCTTTCCCCTACCCTTCCCACTTTCCCTACATCTTTAGCCCTTTTCTTCCTATTTCATGTTGTTAATTATCTCATTAGGATCTTATGTACTATTATAGCTTTTCACACCAGAGAAACTGTTCGGTATTTACACATGTGTGACTTATTTATTTCACTTAGGAGTATATCCTCAATATGTATCCATTTTCCTGTGAATGAATCTAATTTCTCATTCTTTAAGGCTGAGTAGTATTCCATTTTATAGAAAACCCACATCTTCTTTACCAGTTTCCAACTGATGGGCAAATGGGCTGTTTCCATTTTTTTAGCTAGCAAAAAAAATTTTAAACAAAACTATTAACAGGTATTTCTTGGAGGACAGTTCTGGAAAGGCCAATGACAAGAATGAAAGCAAATACCTAGAGGACATGCTGCTCCCTGGTGGGCCAGACCCACAGCCTACCCCAACCCCAGGTAGCATCAGCAAGAGGTGATCTGGTCCTGCCTAAAGCCCAGCCCTGTGATCGCAAAGGACATTCACTCTCCAACAAGAAAGGCAGATTCCCATTTGAGCTAAGGAAAGCAAAAGTACACCCAATATGCAGCTATACTATAAATACACTTTAAAACTCCAAAACAGTTCAGAAAAGTCCAAGTCATAAAAGAGAGAACTGTATGATTAATAAATAGAAGAATAACACCTAAGAAGTCAGGTTTAAAAAAAAACAAGATGAATTTAAAATAGATACAGCATGCATCATAATAGCACTTCCAAAATATATCTATGTCATCAAGTAAAAAGTTTAACAATTATATATCAAGCACCATAAGTGTATAAATATTACTAAAAAATCAAGATGTGGTGAATACCACTAAGTAGACACCACTTAATAGATACAAATTTTCAACCAGAAGTTAAAACCTAGAGATTGTACAGTACTCAGAAAATCAAAACAAAGGCAGATGGAACACAAATGCTACACAACATAGCAAAAAGTTCCAGATAGCCTGTTACTTTCTAAATGGCATCTCAGAGGAATACAAAGAGAGAAAACGTTCAAACCTGAAGACTCAATAAATGAGATTAATAAATTATTTTTAAAATTATTTAAGCACATCATAGATACCTATTAGAACTCAAAATAAAAAGAAAATCTTAAAACTTTCAAGAAATGAAAAGTGAAAAATCATCACTATTGGATTCCTAATATGCATGATTTTTGTGCTCAATAAAACAAGGAAATGTCTTCTAACTTCTGAAAGAAAATTATATTTGGTTTATGTCCAGCCTAATTATAATTCAAGAGCAATACTAACATACAGATTTCCTTTTTTCTGACTTGAATATAAGGATCAGAAATTTACATGAAGTGAGGAATAACACAAACACTAAATATGT